GGTTTTTGGAGGTTGTCAAGGAACACAGAAAAAAAAAATGTTACCAACAGACCAACTAGTTCTCTGGATAGGCCTTCCTGATCCATGGCTGGGCTTTGAAATTTAAGGGCTGCCAACTTCAAAAGTTTCTGTGTATTCTTCCTGACTTGTGTGCTAAGCCTGTTCAGGTAGTCACAAGTTTTGAAAATGTGCTTCCTGCTGCAGCTAACCAGAGTCAGAGACTGGTGGGAACATCATTCCTTACACATACCCTCTTCCTCCCAAAATAAGACCTAGCCAGAAAAAAGTTAGCCTTGAAAACTAGAGATCAAAATGCCAGCCCCGATCGGCCTATCATTTTTACTTTATCTGTTATCACTGTTCTTTTGCTCTGGAAAGTAGGAAGGGCAAGGATAGGCTGATTAGGGCTGGCATTTTTGATCTCTAGTTTCTGAGGCTGATTTTTTTTTTCAGGCTAGGTCTTATTTTCGAGAAAACAGGGAGAAAGGTGCGCCATCTTTCGGTAGGTTGCTGGGCAGTAGTGCTATGAGGGGGTGGCAGTTCAGGTGTGAAGACTCATGCATGAACACTGAGGGCTTGCTGCAAACTGACCCCTGGACCAATCACTGGGGCCCAGAGGTGAGCAGGCTCCTAGGACAGTAGTGGAAGCCAAGGGGTCCACAGATGACCAGGGTCTGGTGTGTTGAGTGTGAACTGGAACACAAAATATGCTGGTAGAGCATAAAGCAGAGAGAGCTGAAAAGCTTCAAAACACACTTGGTGTTTAGAACAAGCTTAATGCTCTGGTTCAAGCTTTTCAGTAACCCTGCAAGGTAAGTGCCATCCTTTCCCTATGCTCAGAGGTGCTAAGTGATGATACAGAAGTACAGCCAGTAATCAAGAGAGCCAGGGGCAAATCAAAGTTACTTGGGGCCTGGGTACGTCATATTTGGACTCCAGGTCTTGAAGTAAGTGGGATAAGGCTAACTTTAAGAAACAGGAAGCTTGTAGCATGAGTGGCAGTCCTGCACACATAGGAAAGCTACCTAGGGACACATTCCCTGTGTTTTGTGCATGCTCTGATAAGGCTGAGTTCTGTGGCAGTGTGTAACTCAGTAGTCAGTGTCTGAGGCCAGGGAAGTGTCTTTCTCTCCTTAGGATGGAGAGGGGTATTGGGTACCAGGTGGTATTTGGATAGATAGTGCCTCAGTAATACCGGCTGGGGCTGTCTGCAGGGCTTGCTATGGTTCCTGAGATGCTACTGAAGTTGGCTAGGGAAATGCCTCTTCTGTCCTCAGGATGATAGGTAAGTCACTGACCTGGATCTGGGGAAAAAGCAGCCAGAGCTCCTTGCTGCAGCACGTGGCTTCCATTCTGGGTGAACACAAACCATGTAGATGAAAGCCGTGCAGTGGCCCAGAAAAGGCTGGGGAGAGGTTGGCTTTGTCTTTCCGTGTCACAATGACTGTACACAAAGTAAACTCTGTATGCAACATGTTCTCAGAGAGTGGTGGTATACTATAGAGAGATCACAGGCCTGGAAGCTTGCAGATCTGAATTTGAATATTACCTGCTAGCAGGAAAACATAGCTTTTCCCAAGACTTGGTTTTCTTATTTTTGAAAGGACCAGTGGGCTAGAATGCATAGGATGTGAACTCATAAAGACCAGCAGTGTGCAGCAAGGCGTGGAGGTGCCCCACAGCCAGGCTGGTACAATTTCCTGAGCATCTCACAGAGACAGCTGTCTCCCTTCTCCCTGGAGGACTGGGCATGGTGCTGGTACCTGCTCTTTTGGAAGGTTCTGTGAGAAGGAAGGTCCAAAGCAGAAGATTCAGTGCCTGTGCTGTCAGCTTCCTGGTACACAGCCCTCCTCCCCAGCTGCTGGTGGGACATCTTGGCCAACTGCTTCAATGGGGACAGGATGGGAAGCCAGAGTACAGCTTCCAGATTGTCACCTGGGGAATCAGAGTGAGAAGGGAGAAAGGGGAATTTAGATTCAGGCAGGCTTGGGATCCCTCTGACAGCTGTGGGACCTTAAGTGAAGCATTATACAGCCCTGGGCCTTGGCTTCTTGGTTTTTGAGTAGTAATAACAGGATCTTCTCTGCAAGGTGTTGAGAGAACTGCATGTAAAGCTACCAGCACAGTGCCTGGCACTTAGTAGATGCTTAATAAAAACAGTGACTACTCAAAGTTGGACTGTTAGTGGGGCAGAAACTCAACTGGAAGATGCAGTTGAAGAAAGTAGAGTCTAATACTAGTGCCATCTGGTCCCTTTCTCTTCTGCAGCTATTTCTTTCTTTTGCAAGCTGCTGTCCTGGAATCACAGTCTAGAGTACAAGTTCTAGGACAGACAAGTAAGCCTCAGGTGTGGACTCCCATTCAGTTGTAAAAGCAGAAAATACCCTCAGCCTAGGTTGCCCTCCAGGACCATTGGCACTACCTGGGTCCTGGAGGTGTACACAGACACAAAGCCCAGACTTCTGGCTCATTAACAATGCTGGTGCTGAGTGTCTGTATCCATCACAAGTTCTTCCTCCATCTGCTGGGGGCTCTGCTCCTCGTCCAGCAGTGAGGGTACCATAGGAGAAGTCAGCCCCATGTCTCTGGGAGCTGCAGCTGGAGGAAGGCAAGGTTTGGATCCAGAGAGTAGCTGCACAGGGCAAAAAATCCCCAAGGAACAGTAAGCACTAGTTGTGCACTGGACACTGTTGTGGAAATCTCATACTTAAAATACATAAGGCCCACATCTTATGACAAAGGTTATTTTGCCAGCTCCACTTGACCGCTGAGGAAATTGAGTCACAGGTGATGTACCTTCCCCAGGGGTCATGCATTTTACTGCCTCTTTCAAGTTTCAAAAAACAAGATGAGAAAGATTACTGGGGACCCTGAAGGGGACCCTTCACCCGGGGCCTGGGTATGGGGGCTGAGACTCAGAGCAACTCAGAGATCCTCAGAGAAGAGAGCAGAAGGATAGCCTGGGGGACTGTGAGGATTGGTCCCCAAGCCATGCCTCTGGCTCCCTCCTTCAGCAAATATTTCTGGGGCATGATACACCTGTCACAAGCACCAGGGGTTAGGGACTTTAACTTCCAAAGCAAACCTCTAGCTCTGCCCTTGAATGCTTGCTCACGATCTAATGAAAACACAGTGCGGCAGCCCTCGGCGAATGATCTCTTACCATAGATGTACCAACACAGAGCGACTTTGCCAGGGACGTCCTGGGAATCTGTCCAGGAAAGATGGCGGAGACCAGGGTTTGAGGTGGGAGGTTAAAGGCAAGGGGCAAGTCAGGACATGGTCTCTAGTCCTTGGCCTGCCCTAGGGCAATTACTCACATGCCTCGGGAACTTCGCAAAAGGCCTGCGGTGGCACCTATTGGGGTGAGGTGGGTGGGTGGAGGGGGGCGAAGGGCACCTCCACGCACCAGCTGTGCGTCCTCTCAGGGGACGGCTCTGTGCAGTTCCCTGTCCAAGTCCAGACACTGGCGGTCTATGACCTGAGCGAATGCCAACCTGGAGCAAGTGGTGGATGGCAAAGACGCCCTGAAGGGCGCGCGTTTATGTAACCGACCTTGGCGCCCAGGGTCTCAAGAGGCTGGCGCTGGGAGCCCTGCGGAGGGAGGACACAGCCCCTGCGTTATTTTCTTGCAAATACAACGGGCAGCAAAACGATACAAGTTAGGAGAAGTCTAGGAAGCTTTCAAGAGCACAGCGGTTCGCCCCACTGCCTTTTCCCCAGAGCCGGCTCGGCCTGTACCCGCCTCCCAGGGGTCGCTCGCTGTGTGACCTTGGGCGTGGCGCCGCTCGACCTCCTCGGGCCTCAGTTTCCCGGCCTGTGCTGGCGGCGCGGCCGGGACAGT